AGTACGAAGAGCTGTCTGAAGATAATAATAACACCACTAATGATGATAAAGATATCACCGAAGATAATGGCGACGATAATGAAGATATTAATGATCATAACAACACCGCCGATGATATACACAATACCAGTGAAGACAATGAGGTTATGAGCGGTGATAACGAGATCACTGACGATAATAACAATAACACCGCCGAAGACGTAGACAACGACGAAGATATTGCCGATAATTGCAGTGATAAGGAAGTGACGGATCAGTCAACGCCGGCATCGACAGCACCGGCCACTGAAACGGCAACACTGGCCGCAGAAGTGGACACAATTAGCGTACAAAACGGCGAGTTATCGCATGAGATAAAGTTCGTGCAAAACCTGATTAATCTGTTGGAGAACTACCGAAACCTATTGAACTGTTGTCTCACGAACTGTTCCAACTGTTCCCAAGACCAGGAACTGAGTGTCAAATTTCAAGACCTGGAGCTCGACTACATCCGTGACCTCAACTTCGCCAAAGAGCTCATCTTCGACAACATCCAGTCGTTTGAGTCGAAAATGAGGCGATTGTTCACAAAGAGGACCAAATCATCACCGGTTAAGAAGTCGGAGACCACCGAAAGTAAGTACGAATACATTGACGCCTATTTGGGCACCGATTCGGACGATAATGACAGCGATGGGGCCGGCGGTCGACAGTCGCCCGACTCTGACTACGAGCCCACTGTCGAGGACTTGGTTGAAGATCCGGCCGACGCGAAGGTGGGCCCCGCCATTGCCCCCAGACGTGTGGGTCGACCTAAACGCGCGGCCAAACGTAGGGGTCGGCCGAAGGGCACGCAGTCGACGACCGGCGCTAAGAGGGGCCGAAAACCTAAGTCCGCAACCAATCGTAGTTTTAGTGATTACCAGTCGATTGGCTATAGTTTTAGTGATAATCTGATCGAAGAGATCGACGAAATTATCGACAATTTCGACGACACGGATGCGTCCGAAGATGGCATCGACGACAGCGATGTCGCCTACAATCCCAAGAAGTCTGTGCCGACCGCTAGCGTTAAGCCGACAGTCAAAGTGGGGGCCAAACGAGGGCCGAAAAAGTTGAAAAAAGGTTTGTATTTATTGTGCAATAAATGAGTTGTTAATTAAAAATGACTGAATTGTGAACTCCAGGCCCCAAACCCAAGCGCAACAAATACGACAAACTCTACAAATGCGACTCATGTGAGTACACGCACCGGAAGCTACCGAACCTGGAGTCTCACAAAAACAAGGTTCACCTCAACATCCGGCCCTTCAAGTGCGACAAATGCGACAAATGTTTTACGGGTAAACCATTCCTCGACAAACACCGGCGCTTCCACTCGGAGAACTACCACTACTGCGATTGGCAGGACTGCCACTTCCGCACCAAATACATGAACAATCTTAAGGAGCACCGCATGCGCCACGAAAAGGACCGGCAGTTCCGGTGCGCGTGGCCGGGATGTGGCGCTCTCTTCTACAACAACCGCGATCTCACGCAACACATGAAGTCACACGAGGAACAGAGGGACTACCGGTGCGATTGGCCCGGCTGTGAGGCCACGTTTAAGCGGCACACGTACCTGAGCCGGCACAAGCAGCTGCACCTGAACCCGGACACGGCGTTCCCCTGTGTGTGGCCGGGATGTGGCAAAAGTTTCAATACCCGTAAGAAACTGGAGAACCATTCGGCGACTCATGCCAAACAGTTGCAGTCAACTTTGCAAACGGCACCGGAGGCTACCGTTCCCACTACCAGCGTCGCCAGTCAACGTATGCCACCGCCGCCAACGATTACGCCGACTACCAGTGCGTCGACGACTAGTGTTAACGCCCGTAATAAGACTCATCTGATCGCACAAACCGGTGGCCAACTGTTTATTACTGCCAGAGGTGTGGCGCAGATTACCGGTGCCGGTGGTCAGCAACAGATAATGTCGCCCACGGCTGCGCATAACAGCGCTCATCATCACCACCAGTCTCACCATCAGCCCCATCATCAACAACAACAGCAACACCATCAGCAGCAACAACAACACCATCAACAACAACAACAACAACAACAACAGCATCAACACCAGCACCAACAGTCCCATCATCACCAGTCCCATCACCAGCAACACCACCATCAACAGCATCCACACAATCAGCACCAACAGCCGGTTCAGTTGCGGACTCCCGGACCACCTATCAGTCCATCTATTAGTCCATTAGCGCAATATCCGACCGATTTATCACAACAAAGATCTGTGAGCCAGATGTCGAGCGCACCGGTAGTATCGCAGATGTCCGCACAGGCCATCAATCCATGGCTTTTGAATAGTTTTATTAATCGACAAAACATTTGAGATTAATTGTAGACATTTGTTCACAAAATCACTCGTACTCTGTGTTTGTGTTACTGTTAACT